AAAAAAAATACAAAAGCAGTACAACAGATGAATTTGCAGAGTACAGATTTCAAACCCTGTGATAACTAAAGTCAACCTATATTTCCTGACTTTAGCTTCTGGACTTGAATGTGCCCCCATATCCACCTCCTTTGTCAACCCTCTTTGTCACCCCTATCACCATTCATACTTCCTCCCTGAGAACCTTACCTGTTTTCAGTTATATGACTGGAGATCATTCCGTGACTGAAGTAACTTCTGAAAGGCTAAAAAGAGATCAATGTTGTATATATTAAGACCACAATTTTGTAAAACAATCACATAACCCCTCACATATGTATATATGTACACACACATACATACACTTCAGGAGAGTGTGGGGGGAGAGGTGGAGAAAGAGAGTGAGACAGAGGAATAGAGAAATATGTTTGTAGATTATTATAAAAACATGGACGGGTATGTGTTGTGGACAGTCACATGAATTTTAGGGTCAGGTAGGAAGCAAAAAAATAGCAAAGAAAAGGGAAAAGAAAAACAATTCTTTTCAAATTTATAATTTTCAACTACTGAAAGGAAATTGGACCAACTACCATCTATGGTCCAAGTTGCTAATTATGTAAAAGGTTTTTTTCTTCTTCTTTCTTTCTTTCTTTTTTTTTTTTTGGCAGCTGGCAGGTACAGGGATCCAAACCCCTGTCCTTGGTGTTATAACATGGTGCTCTAACCAAGTGAGCTAACTGGCCAGCCCTCTCCTATTTAAAAATTTTTTTTCTATGATTCCAATAAATAAATATATATTAATTCTAATATGCTGATTTAAAATTAGCAAAGAGGAGGAATCCAAGGAACTTAGAAGTATACTGATAGGAGTTTCCCAGGAAACCAAAGAGGTAATTTTCAACTTTCAGATACACAGTGTTAGGCTAAACACTATTTAAAACTTAACACGCAGGGTCTAGTGTCCAAAGGGCTCAAAATTTCAAAAGGCAACTTTAAATCTTCCTAAATAATATCTGCTGTATTTTTTTTTTAATTTAAGTCATTTATGTTCACTGTAGTCAATAAAAATCACTTACAATCTCTAAGAACTGTTAACATTCTGGTACATTTTCTTTGAATCTTTTTTCTATGGTACATCCATAGACTATATATGATTATACTGAAGTTTATTAAATAGTCCTTTACTCTTGGAAATTTATACTGTTACTAACTCTTCTACATCATGAATAATACTGTAATGAACAATTTTTTTTTTTTTTTTTTTTTTTTTTTT